GAGAAACTTATGTATAGGGAGGACATGAAATTTGACATCAAAAACATTGCATCACATGACCCACTTCCTGCAAAATGTATGCTTTTAATACACAATGTGAAAAGTCATTTCATGAACTAAAAAAAGGCTTTGACAAATGCGCCTATATTAGGATTTCCAACAGAATTTGATTCAATTTATTCTAGATTGTGTTTTTTCTGATTGTAATGATGGATAAGAAAAAGTTATAGATTATTATAGTAAATGTTTTACCAACTAAAAGATGTATTCCCTTAAGCGGAATTTACTCGGAGGCATATCACATATAATCATATATACATGTATGTATTCATACAGTTTGATATATATCGTGAAATGATTTATCGAAAGGCATACCAAATTTGTGCCCGCTGATGTGGTAATTAAAACGTTTTAAACTAATTTATGTTTCGAAGGAATGGCACTTGTGGTCATACATTAACTGAAAAAGGGGGAACGTAGGCCTAGTGGTTAAGGTGTCTGGCTCTCAACCCAGGGATCATGGGATCGAACCATAATCGGGTCACGATGATGTTTCTTCATATGACATCAGTACTGGTTTGTTTCAGGAAGCGGACTCAAAAGTGATTAACAAAAGTTGCAAGAACTTGTTTCGCAATCGAACTTAAATACCGGTAAATATGTTTAAAAAAAGCTGAGAAAAGAACCACAACAACCGTTGAACTTCACGAATTAAAGACAAAGTTTGTGCGTGTGTGCGTGCGGGCGTGCGTGCGTGCGTGCGTGTATGTGTGTGTGTGCTATGTTATGTTAGCGTTTATATGTTCATAAATACGTCGAAAAACACATCACAACATATGTTTATAATTTATAATTTAACTGGCATTAATTACTATCATTAGACTGAATTATTCTTTATTGTTAAATAAATCTCCAACAGGCAAAAACCTTTAAAATTAAATTCAATATTAAGTGTTGATGCATATAAGATTTTAAAATAACCAGTGAAAGAACTACCAGCTGTGTTTTAAAAAAAAATAATAAATGTGCAAGATCCTTTGAGTGAGTGAATAAGTGTGTGGGTGATTTTGCTAAATAAAAATGTATGAAACATCTCTGTTCCCAATTGAACTGTCATAACTGATTTCGTATCCAAAATTGAGTATTTGAAATTCGTGATAGCATCTCTGAAAAGAAGTGTGGAAAAAGAAAACTGCTGTCACATTTTCTGAAATTATTCAATTTTTTCCAAGAGTGTTTTACTATCTTTTACTAGAAACTGAATTTTTTTACATCCGTATGTCTGTTATTGCTTGAATGATTCATATTTTTATACATAATTTTGTATGGTTTGTTAATAAAAGCTTTTTATGCTCCTCTGTTTTAGACTTTACGTTAAATTTAATGAAACATAGACGCATAAGCCATCCAGCTAACTTAAACTTAACTTAAATTTAGCAAGTTTAGTAAATGTATTATATAACTTCCACATATTTTCCTTGATCCAATGCATGTATCATATAGTCAAATACGACCAGTTAGAAGAATAAACTTTTGTATTAAAGGAACGACTAGTTAGAAGAATAACCTTTTGTTTTAAAGGAACGTATATTATATTTTTACCCCTCACTTTTTTCGTAATGCTAATTTCCCATAGGCCTCTGGGAGTTATTCTTACTGTTAATGCAAGTGTACCACGTGACTAAGAATTTTGTACTGTTACATAGGTAACAGTATTTTTAACAGTATAAAATCTGGTCACGTGGTCTTTTTTCTAAATAAAATGAAATAAAAGGGCCGCCATTTTTTTCTCGAGTCATTCTTATTTTCGACGTTAAACCCCGATAGGACATCAAATCTTCTCTGGAGTATCTATGACACTCATAAAATTTAGTTGTTCGCACCCTGATGTGCTTTTCGCGTATAAAATATCTTTTTGTTGAATAGTCAAAAAGTGAACATCCGTTTTCAACGGAAGTACTGTAATTGCAATGTAAATAATTATATGTCAAACTGGAACATGCAGACGATTTAAGCATGCAACAAAGGATTATTTAACAATTTTAATCAGTGAAACGTTACAGATATGGCGGACAGACATAGGATATCATCGTTATTTTGTCAAAAACCATGCTAAGAATATTCTAGAAACAGAAGGATCAGATTTCACAGATCATAACCGTGTAAATGGATTAAAGTTTTGTTTTCTAAATAAAACTTAGCTTATTATATGTTTATGATTTGTAGATATCATCACTTGCTTAAAGAATAAAAGAAAAAGAAAACTTCTCAAGTAGGCCTAAAGTACACTTAAAACTTAAAAGGTAAGGACATTTAAGTTATTGTTACTCTTGGTTTATTTTTGTTACAGTTAGATTTACTTGACAATTTTAGATCATCACAGTATTTCTGTTCGGGGTAATAAAATAAATAACACATGGGTATGTGAGTAACAGTAAAAATATCATCCCTCGTAAAAATACTGTTACCCTTGGCTACGCCTCGGGTAACAGTATTTTCCTCGGAATGATATTTTTACTGTTACCCACAAACCCATGTGTTATTTATATAATAATCTTTTGAGGTTCTGACCCAGCAAAATCTAATTAAGTAAAATTAGGATACAATGTACTTCAGTAATTCATTATGTAAGCTGACGATACAAAAACTTAGTAATCAAGCTGAACTTCCGGAAATAATGTTCATGGTAGACAGTAAAATATTTCTTACAATTATCAACCTTCCTAGGGAGGATTGATAATTACTGTTGACCACTACCTGTGTTTACTGTTAAATTACTTATCTTTTCTTGAAGTTTGATAATCACGGCCAATATTATTTTGGCTTTTTTTTCGTATGTTGTAACAAATCATACCAACACACATACCCCTCTTCCCTTATTGAATCAGGGATATATTTTTACTGGTTTACAAATTAAAGAAATTAAGTAGAAAAAAAGAGCAGCGGAAACAATATTTTTTTAAAAATGTAACAACTGGGGCTCATGAGTGGCATATAATTAACTTCTGTTGTTCAAGATTATAATTTAAGTGTTAAATATGAATAATTACTGGTGCTCATAAGTGAAATACATGTTTAATTTGATTTTACAGGTACGTGCTTATAGGTTTTCTATTGTTTTACATACATGTTTAATTAAAATAATTTGATAATATTTGACAATTATTATTACATCTAAACATATGTGTGTGTTTGCAATATATTTTTCACATTTAACGTAAAGGTTAGTGTTTAATAATACATATTGACAAAATAATTCGTCAAGCCTACCGGAGGCAGGCGACCTATTATTTTTGTTAATGTGTATTATCAAACATTAACCTATTTAATGATCAACATTATTTTTTCAACCTAAAACAAGGCATTTCTCTAAATCACCGATACCTCCACCCTTTCGCTCTAAAAGATGTCTACACCTTGTCAAGTTTCTAACATGTCACATTTAGAAAAGCAAACTTAATGGCCTTTTCAACAAATAATCAGGCACATTTTTTACTGAAATGTCACAGAATTTATATCTTTATCTGCAGTAAGACTATCATGTTTCTATAAAATATCTTGAAAAAGAACAGCGAGGAATAAAATGCAATTAGGTAAAAACAATGGAGTTAATAAAAATTCGTTGTTAGCTTCAAGATATTCACTAACATTTAAAATCCCTATTGATTTACTCATTTGAAAAACAGTTGACCTTCTTTTCTGTATGTCAATTTAGGTTTACAGGTGGAGGGGGTCCGTTCCAGCCAAAAATGTAAACACTGTATTCGTAATATCAAGGATTGTTAATGCAGTTACTATCGACAGTCAGCAATTTATAACAGACATTTTTCTTAGAGTTAAAAGGATATAAAAAAGTTTGTCTCTGCGTGCCCCACATGTTTTATCTATGTAATAATTTAATTGAATGTATCCTCACATTTAGAACACTTGACCCCGCTTATTTTTTGGCTTGCAGCCACGGCTGCAAGCCATTTCATATGGAAAACTTGTTCCGGTTAGGTGGTTTCCTGCTTACATCTGTTGGTGCATGATTAAACAGGAAACCAGCTGCAATCGTGCCAATCGCAACTTTTCGGCCTTTTCCGTCACTCTTCGGATTAATGATAATAGCCGATGTAGTTCCGATTGCAATCGTGACAATTCGGGCGATTCCGTCATACTGCGGAATCAGACGAAGTAATATTACGGAAATCTAAGCTATTTTAGTTACTTCGGTAATCCCAGTTTGTTTATATAAATAGGATTTCTATTTTTACTTGATTTATCGGTTTAAACCGTAATAAATTATAAACGAAATTGTTCCGTTTCAATTGTTTTTCAAGACGCAAAAGTTAGTTTATTTTATAATTGTTTTTTGTCTGTATTAGTTTATACAATAGAGAATGGTGACTGCAGTCTGTAGTAGTATTCCGTCTTCAAAGATCGAGTTATATTTAGATCCAACTTCTTGGTGAGGTAATCTAAAAATAGCCCATGCATATCATTAACCTTGCCACCTAGCGCATCGTCTATTTGTGATCGTAACATAGTTGATACATGCTTATTAATTGGTACCACGTAACGAAGTATTTTAGTGCAATTACTTGTCTATAAAGCAAAGGAATGATTTCACTGCGAAAAAGGCGAAATGAAATGTGCACACTTGTTTTCCTTCAGTATCACGTTAGTATTTTTACGATTGATCATTATCTTTATTAGATTTATACAATAGAGAATAGATTTCAAATCGTTTTGACAAAAAATATTCGGTTTTCAAAAAAAAACAACTAAATAAATCCTTTATGATATACAAATGCCGTAATTCAAAAAAAAAAAAAAATTGAAAAATACTATAATGTGATTGGACAAAAAATAATGTTGACAATTAAATACTTTTAATGAAGTGGAGATGGCCTGCTGACATTTCAATTTGTTTATGATTAATGTTCTTATTGCGCTGTCAAAATTATTAGTCCATTGAAATAATTGTTCATTATTTTTGTGTGGAAATATACTATATATTAAATTATTGCACTTAATTATAATATTTCATGTATTATATAAAAATAAGCACTGTAATCCAACGAAAACAAAATAGATGTAAATTCAGTTAAAACACTATAATTTATACATTCCAAACGTTAAACTATAATTAAGTCATCGTTTTATTGTCAACGTTATATTCCTTAATATGTTTACTTCAATTTGAATATACAGAACTAATCTGTCTGAACAAGAACTCCAGAAAATGAATTCCAAAAATTACTGTCATCGTGATATAAAATCTGGCCGCTTCCCGAGCGATATATCACCTTTACCCAAACTTTGTTACCTGACTTCACTGAGACTATTGTAGTTACTTTGTAGCAGGATGTATGGCCATTATAGTTGTCCTGGTATATTGCAACATCCATATAAACGTTATCAACGATTAGTCCACAATCAAAACGGTTACCTTGACTAATACATAACTGAACTGTAAACAGATAAATGCCTCCAAGTGGAACAGTAAATACTCCAGTATTAGTATTGTAACTCTCGCCAAGGTTAAGGAGAATGTCAGTGAATACAAGGGTATCGCCAGCAGCTGGATTTTTATTTTTCACTTTTTTCGCATGAAAGGCAATATTTGGTGACACAACTTTATCTGAAATAAGCGTATACAAGTAAAATAACATGCGCATACATAACGGTATTCGATCAAGTATGTTGTTACAACAAAACATTATCTTGTGTTTCTGGTATAGTCTGATTTTATTGACCTGTCAATTTTGAATACATTATAGGACTCATTTAAATATTCGATCCCACTTCGGTTTGGTCCGTGTAGTTTACGAGAATTAATGTGGAGTATATAAGTCATCGATTGAAAGTCACGCCAGCTTTATGTGAAAGTTTTCGTTAATTCACAATAGGACAGTCGGTAAAGAGAATGCCTGATAATTGAGAGGTCTGTGGTTCGATTCTTACTGTTGCCATTGTTTTAGTACTCTTTCTTTATTTTTGCAGTATATTTTAATAGAACAGATTTGTAGTGTGTTTTACGGCATTGAAATGACATTTATTGATTTTAATCCGTTTTAATTTTAAACATGAATTCTTAAAAAAAACATGTTATTTAAAAAGAGTATATGCATAACAAAATTAAGTAAAACATAATCAAACAAAACGAACAACATAAAATAATCATATATAGATTCAATAATGTTGAAAGTATTAATAAGAAAAAAAAACATGGACCAACGAGGCCTCGAACTTAAAACACGTGTGGCACTTAGATTATAAACTCGTGATTTACCCTATTGCGCTATATAACGCTGAGTAGATACACACTAAATTAAATTCTATCGTACAGCGTACTTCTCACGGAACTTACCGAACATCTACCGAAGATTAACATACTGTGTGCATCGACCGCGTAATCAGTATGTAATTGACAGGTTAATAAAACCAAACAATATAGCACTATCTCGTAATAACTACAAACTTCACTAACTGTTATAATTATATCTCGTAATTACCAGAAAGTGTTCTTATAGTTACGAAATATTTATCTCGTTATCATAAAAAATGTTTGAAAAAATGATGAAATTTAATACTTCTCAACTTCAAATACAGGCGCGGAACCAAGATTTTTACCAACATATGGCACAGATATGGGATAATGCAAATTCCAAAGGCGGTTTATCTAGTTATTTCAAGAAAATATCATGACTGCATTATAGCTTAATCTTGATGTAACAAGTTATACTACTATCATGTGAAAGCGAGATATTTATTTCATTTTACAGAAAATGAGTATAATGAAAATAAATACTTGTTGACTGTACAATTCAGGTGCGGATCATATGTGAATCACAAAATATTGATAAAGGAAATAAACCTGAACATGCTTACATGTGAACACACATGTCAAACTAAAACTCCTGATTCAGACCTGTTTAAGATATCCCAGCTTCACATTTTAACTTTTATATTAACACAAATAAAACCAAAGCACTGAACGTACTGATTGGGAGGCTATGTCAGACTTAAAGTTTCTTTTCTTTCTGCTTAAAATGTGCTGTAATTTCAATTATTACCAAAATAAGAAGATCTGTCCACTGCGCTATTTATCCTTACTTGTTTATCCATTCATATGCTTATTATGGTGGACTAATCATTTTGTCAATATTCCAGAACTTTTATTAGGGTCTACATTCGGACTGTTAATCATGCAAATTTTGAAGAACCTAAACTGTCAATATTAAATGACATACAAGCAAGTATGAAGACTGTTCATTATAAGATCACAATACCATTTTACAACTGACGGTTCCTTATCACAATATTTATGACTGTTCATCATGCCGGCATAAATACTTTATGTCATTTATCATTGAATGATAATTACATTTATGCAACATTTTTATTGAACATAAACATTACACATATTTACATATAACATGCATTGTGATCAATAAAGATACTTGTGATGAGTAATAATATCATGCTCTACGATGCAAACCTCGAATAAAATCACGAAAATATTATTCATATTTCAAAAGTAAATTAGCCAATTTTCATTTAATTACTCGAAGCTTATTTTGACGGCTTCAGATATTTATTAAAGGTAAATATTTCTTGAAAAAAAAAAAACAACATAACTTTCTTTTACCGCCAACACTCAACAACTTATGGTAGTTTATCGATAGAATCTATTTTAAATATCAGTAGCTTGAAATATGTACTGCGGGACAGGATTTGCGGTTATCCCTATCGATCATGTTCGTCTTACCATTTCCAGCAAATAGATGAGAACATTGAAGCGTCAGTTCTATAAATTGTATTATTATTAAAATAGCGTGTTAAAATATTATCCACTTTGATCACAACATACAGGAACTTTAACCATCGTACCATCGTGCACCGCTAGTAAGGACGAAATAGAAAATCACGGTTGCCCTAACGGAACACCGTACGTTGAAGAACACAAAGAAAGATTCACCTTAAAAGTCAGAGATGCATCAGAACTAGGAGTGTAGTACTAGTACCAGTACCAGTATTTGTCAACTTGTGCAGTACCAGTACTAGATTTCCTTTCAGTATCAGTACTTTTATTTTCGAAGTCATTAAGTCCCAATACCAATACTCATTCATTTACCAGGATTTACGACAATAAACATTGTCAAACGAAAGATATTACGGTATAACTTTTAACATGCATATCAAATTTTAAAGCAGTTTTTATATGCTACATTTATCAACAAGGTACAGTTTCTGTTTTCTAAAAAAATGCCGTATAAAATATTCTTTACTTGTGTTGTTCGTTTCTATACTGCAAACTGGTAGTGTAACGAAGTCATTCAATCATTATCATTTAATCAACATGTATCTGTACATTTCAGTTGCATTGCACCATTGCAGATGAATATTTTTTATTCCTATTATTGTTCTAAAACATGTCGAATAAAAGGTTAACTTTGTCTGGCAAACACTCAGCAACCGATGGCCATAGTTCATCATTACATTTAGTACTTTGATTTTCATTGAAATGCAGTACGTGTGTCGTTTTAAAGACCAAACATCTTGTACTACATTCCCTTATGGTTCGTTATGATAATTAATACAGTTTATCTAGTATCTTACACGAGTATGATAATCGATGCATATTTAAACCGATCGCTGATGCAATGCACTTTTTACACAAAAAAATATATGTACAATAGTATTGCTGTTCAATTTAATTCTTTTTCAACGAGATTCTTTACAGGCCAGTATTGGTGACACTGAGTCCATAGAAGAACAGTTTAAATCAAGTAACGTACAATCATTAAAAGGTAAAACAAGACATATTACCTTCCAGCTAATTCATTGCTTGCATATCTTTGTATAGCTCGACTTTTTATTAAAAATTAAATTAATTATTCTTCAAACTAATTAAAGCATACTTAATAAGAAAAATTACCTTTAAGGTCTTCCACTGCTTGCATATTTTTGTCTAACTCGCTCTTTGCTTTCTCTTGCAATGTGATAAGGTTTGCCTTACTGCTTTCCTGCATTGTTTCTATTTCACCTTTCCACTTGGCTGTATCTTCGTTAAGCTTGGCAATTGCCCCGGTTACTCTAGCTTCTATGTCATCTATTTGTTTCTTCATATTTTCAACAAGAATTTCTGTCCTGATCATCTTTTCTAGCAGTTTTTCCTCATAATGAAATTTGGAGCAGTGTGGCTCCGAGGAACATACAACAACCACAATTAGTATTATTAAATATGTTTTCATGATGGTAACGTAAAACAACTGAATCGACTTGCTTCTTATCACCATATTTTATGCATTAAACAATTTTGATTTGGATACAGTTTTTACGGAATACCGTTACGGCCATCGTGGTTATACTTAATAAGCCAGAGGCAACAATGCGACAGTGCGATAGTGCAATGACGACAGTACAACAGTGCGATTGTTTGTTTGTTTGTTTGTTTTATTGGGTTTTACGTCACACTGACACAGTATAGTTCATATGGCGACGTTCCAGCTTTAATGGTGGAGGAAGACCTCAGGTGCCCTTCCATGCATTATTTCAGGTACGAACGGGTACCTAGCTGAGTAGAACCACCGACCTTCCGTAAGCTAGCTGGATAGTTTCTTCACATGAAATAATTCAAAGTCACTGTCGGGATTCGAACCCGCAGTGGTGAGGGGCAAGTGGTATAAAGTCAACGACCTTAACCACTCGGCCACGGACGCCCCACACAACAGTGCGATGACGATAATGCGATAGTGTGATACCGACAGTGCGATGACGGTAATGCGATAACGCGATGACGCCAGTACGATAATGCGACAAAGCGATAGTGCGATGGCAAGAATGCGATGGCGACAGTGTAATAATGCGATGGTGACAATATACGATAGTACTTTCGCGTTGTCGCCATCCCGGTATCGTTCTGTCGCCATTGCGTTTTCACAAGTCGTCATCGCATTATTGCACTGTCGCATTATCGTACTGTCATCATCGCGTTATCGCACTGTCGCCATCGCATTATCGTCATCGCACTGTCGTATTGTCGTCATCGCCCTGTCGCATTGTGGCCTTCTGGATTATATAGTGTTTTATATGATAGAATATGGGGAATTAATTTTACTTTTGTAAATATATATCTTTCTTCTTTTTTATGTCTCTCTTTTTATACTGAAAACGTCTAAATAAAAGTATAAATTAATAAAAATAAACATTTTATATCGAAATAAAGGGAAAATAATTAAAGAGTTATATCTAATATACACGGAAAAGGTAATATATTGTGTGAAACATTAAAAAAAGTTCAAAGATTTCAGATGAAAATGATTTTAGGTTCACATTAAAAAAAAGATTATTATAATAATAATAATTGGTCAGTTGTACATAGAGGATATTCAAGTTTTTCTTCTATAAATACAGGATTTATTTTGTCGAGTGGTATGAAAATAAAATGTTCATGAGTTGCGGTATTATTTTATACATTTTTCTTTTTTGACATTATAATTTGAAAGACCTTCCCTAAAATTTTATATATTGGCTGAATTTAGAAGAAAGTAGTCCGGCAAGACACAAGTAAAAATACGGCAAATATGTTTCACTGCAATAAAAAAATTAATTTGTACAGTGAAAATACGTAAAATAAGAATACGCATTTTATTTCTAATACATATGTAAATAAGTTTTCTCTATAAATCCAAATAATGTTCATTAATAAATCTAACTGGTCAACCCTTTTTTCACTATAGAAATACTGCTGAACTCACTTTAGTAATTTCTATTAGATTTTTAATTGGTCATCAGTAGTTTGATTGTTTTGTAAGATGTAGAATTCATTATATTATCTATCGCACTACTGTATTGTCGTCATCGCACTGTCGTATTGTCGTCATTGCACTGTCGCATTGTTGCCCTCTGGATTATAAAGTATCCCACGATGGCCCAAACAGTATTCCTTAAGTTTTAGACTGAAATCTGAAACGATGTTTGTGGTCTTTGAGTGTTTATCATTTTACTTTGATTTAGACCTTGTTTAAATAATGATATTAACATTGAAACACGTGCAGACAGTGAGTGTTTATGGTTTTCACAGTGTTCATTAATTCTACAGAAGCAGATTAACATTTTTTATGGAACGCAATACTGAAACACATGGAGACAGTGATTTTTTTTGTTTATGATTCTCACAGTGTTTATTTATACTATAGAAGCAGATTGACTTGTTTGACAATTTATATCTTAGTAACAAAACAATTTCGGGGTTTTTCTTGTCGTTGTCATCAATTTCAAGAGGCAAACCTTACAGGGATTAACTCGTCAACAACCAATCCGGTATTTTGTGTCACTTTGTGTCAGTTGAAAATGCAATTAATTACTTTTAAAGGGCAAGAAGCATTAAATCATTGTCACGTTACACACCAGATGTTTTCCAAACTCATAAGAATTATTGTTCAACTAGATAAAATATTTCTGACGCTAACATCTTGTAAAATTCATTTTAAAAAATCAAGCTTGACGGAAGATCATTTTGATAAGTCATTCATATTGGTTTTGGATTTCACTACAAATTGAACTATATAATGATATCAGTTAGAATATGAAAATCACGAATAAATCAATATTTGTTTGTAAAAAAAAATAAAAGTAAAACTTTTTAGAAAGACATTTAGTTTGAGTAATATATTTTATGTTAAATGATTTTAAACAAAGGAGAAGTCTTCACAAACTCAATAAAATTTTATACATTACGAGCCAACTAAACCTAAATCATATTTAGTCGTGTGTTTCAAAACAGCTGATACGAAATATAAATGACTTATTTTAAAATGACATGCATAAGGGGTTATTCTTCTTTTGATATATGTTAAAATGAAACAGCAATCAGCACAGCAAAAGACTAAACTTTAAACCTCAAAATGACAGAATTGTACTGATTTAACCTCTTAATGTCATATAGGATTTTTATACAAATTGACAGCACACTTTGTGGTCAAACGCAACTTGGGGTCAAAATCGAGAAATTGATCGAAAGGAATCGCACTTTGGGTTTCAGAGTTCTGGAGGTGCTTAAATTCTGAGTACTGACTCATTTTCGATCTGCGATACTGAAATGTTTGAGGTGGAGTTCAACATGACGGTCAATACTTATATACATCAAAGTGTCATTTAAATGCTGATGTAGCAGTAATTAATGTGTTTGATGTTAAAGTGGTAACTGTTTTATTAATTTTACCACTGTAAATATCTAAAAATTGCGGCTATATAACAAACTACCATAGTACTTAAATTACAAATTCGAAAAATATTCTGTCTGACAGCCATTTAGTAGATGACTTTTGGTGCTATATTGAACCCTATATGTAATATGAAAGGGGTGTAATAAAATGCGAATAATATGTCATCTCAGTGCATTTTAATGTCTATCTAAATGACTTGAAACAAGTAAGTTGGAAATGAAATTTATCATAAATTGAATGAAGTCACGTGACGGTTACATCAAGCCTTTTGCACATCAGTTAATGCCTTACTGTTAATTTTGATTTTCATCCCGTAAATCTGTAAACATATTATCTTGGTAAAAGAAAATTAGTAAATTAAGTTTATCACAGAAGGTACCTGTCATTTTATCATCATAACATCCGATTAAATTACTGAAATAAAACCCCTATATTGCAATAATATTCCAGTTGGATTGCAAAACAATACATCCGATAACGTGAATAATCTTGCGTTTGTCAGGTACCAGTTATGTTATTTTATGAAAGTAACTGCTACTAATTTCCGTAAAGACTTATTTTTAATTTGTGGTCATATTGGACGCCGTCCTGAGACGGCAAATTAACTGAAAGGACTAAAATTTGATTAAAACGTAAATAAACAGCGCGAGACAGTTTATAATTTGAATCAAAATAAACTTACATGTTATTCTGGGTAATACTTCAGGTTTTGAAAAACGTGTCTGTTTGATGAATCACCTAAAACCGCTGCCATTTTGAAATGAGACGTGATATCTTTTTTCCGAAAATAACAAAATATACGGGATTGAAAATAATTCCTGTCATAATAAGACTTGAATTTCATTTAAATATTTATACACTTTAGATGTTGTTAAGAAGGTGAATTTTATGACCCCAAAGTGCATTTGTTTGTCTGATGTCAAGAAATGCATATGTATCTATATAACGCACTTTGGGGTCAATGCCCATCCAAAAGTATTTAGTGAATAAACAGATGAAAGTCAAAAAAAGTTCACATTTGCCATGCGGCGTTACAGGGCATATTGCCCTTTTAATCAACTCCTGTTAACTTCAAATATAATTGTGGATGAGTAAAATAAAAATGATGTATCTCAAGATAATATTTGTGCTTATCTATTTGCATGAGATCTAGAGACAAGTTAAAATGTGGAATTTCAAATCTAATATTAAAAGATATTTCATTGTTATTATATGCACCTAATTCTCAAACATAAAAGTTTGTGTTTCATCAAAAGTAAAAAGTTTGATTATTGAGAACGAATAGGGTTAGCAAAGAAATAAATTGTGTCACAGTTTTGGTCGTCACCGATAACCCATATAATTACAACAACAACTGAAAATGCATATTCTTGTGCTTGAAACCAGTGAGACATGAACGTATTAACAACTGAATGATATTTGTCTCTTTGCTTCCCTTTCCCTTTTCAATAATTAAACTTAAATCCTTTTATGAAACACAAACATGAATTATCTTTCTAGCAGAAATAACGAATTATATAAATGCATACGTATATGATTTGCCTGATTAAAACTGTAAATAGCTTTGAAGTGTTCACCATAATCAATGTATCAAAAGCATCCTAGATGACAATATAGGTATCCCAATTGAATTAAAAATGTCAAAGTCATATTCTGGTTCAACTGTTTTTATTGGTTAATCAAATATACTTTTGATAATAAGGTCAAATTAACTTTATTTATGTCAAACATCAGAAAACCCTAACTTTAAAATTGAAATACATACTACGATATCATTTAAATTTGTATGCATGTATAATTAATACACATTAGCTTGAATTAGTATAATCCGGTATATTGGCTGTGTAATACAACTTAAAGAAAGTCCTTGCATCCTGTAATTGCATAATGATAAGTGGAAATCTTCTGAAATCCTTAAGTATAAACAGTTTAAGCAATAAGTACTCCAGAGAAAGTGTTGTAAAGATCATTGCCAACATGCATTATATCGTAATCCCACGAGGAGGTCTTGGAAGCATACACTTCGTCACCTTTTTGTAACGGAGTCAGCATATCTACAGTCTGACACGACAAATAATATGGGAAGAATCGGGCCCAGCTATATAAATTCTCGCCTTTGCGAATTGACAAATCAACATAATTTCCTCCAAGACATAGCTGTAATACGAAATAGTAAGTTCCTGTAACTGGAGCAATAAAAACCCCAGTGATGTTATCATACGTATTTCCGTTGTTCACAGGCGTATTTGTGAATATGAATTTGTCACCACCTTCTAGATATGTCTTTAAGGGATCTTTAGACCGAAAGGAAACGTCTTTGGATTTCGATGAACCTGATGTAAAAAAGTCAGAGTAAATATTAAGAAACTATCTGAAATTTACGATCAAAAGGTTTTATTTTAATATTTAAAAAATGATGTTTGATATATTTTATACATGATACATTTATGGACTTGAATATAAGAAGATTTTGTTTTGTTTGTTTTGGGTTTTACGTCACACCGACTCAGTATAGGTAATTTGGCGACGTTCCAGCTTTACTGGTGGAGGAAGACCTCATGTGCCCCTCCGTGCATTATTTCAGGCACGAACGGGCACCTGAGTAGAACCACCGACGTTCCGTAAGCTATCTAGATAGCTTCCTCACATGAAAGAATCCAAAGTCCCTTTCGGGATTCGAACCCACAGCGGTGAGGGGCAAGTGGTTTGAGAATATAAGAAGAAAAAATTATGAAAATTCAACGGAGCTAGTCTGTTCATAGTATGATAAAGGTTATCAGTCAAATAAAGCTAGTAAACGATGGTTTTGTGGTAAAAGTTTCTTCCTCTTAACCCAGGGTTCATAGGTTCGATGTCTTCTAAGATCAGGACTTCGTTTCTTCATAAATCCCCCATACAGGTTAGTTCCAGGTAGCGGAATCTACGGTGCTTCTAATAAGCTTCAAGCTTTTATATGAAATGAGCTAAGATAAATATGTTTAAACTTTATTTTGTAACTAGACCTGGTAACTTCATTGGCACTGGTTATTGACATTAATCAAAACGATGTGCGTAGGTCGCACAAGGAACATATTCTTAATTTTATAAATTCATGAAGAATTTTACGTACAATCATAAAACAAAAACCTACCATGATTAATGTCTACTTTCAGCACTTTATATTTATGAACCTTGAGTCTAATATCCGTTCTGTCATCTTTTAGTTTATGAATCATTTCCCCAACCTTTCTCTCTGCTTCTTTCAAAACTTTATTTTCCTTTGGAATTCTTCTCTTTAGTCCAAAGTAATGTTGCAGCCAGTCAAATTCTTTACTTTTCAAATCTTGAAGTTTTTTTTCCACTTTATTTCTCACTTTAATCATTTCTTGCTTTACTGTCTTAGCTAAATGTTCAAGTTGTGTCACTGTCTCAACCAAATCCGCCTTTTGATTTGCAAAGGAACAGTCACAGACACATAAAACAAGCAAAATTGTTATACAAAACACCATTTTAAATTTTAAAATATCCAGGGATACAAGTCTAAATGATAAAAATATTTTGATAAATATCAATTAATATTAAGATGTTATTATGCTGTCAAGGGAATATTATCTTAACTTGTATTACTTTGTGTATGGGTACTTTTCTGTCGTCCGTGAAAATTTAAACATTAAAATTAGGTATCTATTACATGTCAACTTTAAAGTATAGGGTATTTTGTAAATCTTGTTTCAGCACAGCTGATCAATATACCTACTTTGTATATATATACGCAGTTGTACATATCAAATGTCGACAGGAAATTGTCTTTTTTCTTCTTCTTAAAGTGACTTGTTCAAGTTTGCGGATGATATTTCCCTAAAATTGAATTTCATATGGTTTATGTTTATTTATAAACTAAATATATTCAGAAATAGAGGTCTATACTTCAATATGAGCCTAAGGCATAGCCAATTCTGTTTATAGGTTATCATATGCGGACAGTTAACCTTAAGTTCACTTATTTTTTATGTTAATATATCTTAAAAGAATTATGTTACATAAACGACAATTTTAATAATACCTCATATTTTGCTCTCAAGTTGAAGTAAATGAGCTTTATATTGCAAAAGGTTTTACTTTTATTTTGGTACTTCACCAATAGTTTACACTGAAAAATGTTCAGGGTATAATTTAAAATTGCCTAAAATATAAAAATGAATAGAACTTATGGTCAATATTATAATATAATCTGACTTGGACCATGTATGCGAGATAAATATGTTTTCTGCTCACCAAAACAGTATAGAAATCATATATCTTATATTTTAAACTACAAAGTTTAGTTTTTGATAACTAATAAAACATCTAAATGAAAATAAATTGCACACATTTTCTTTAAATGTAGCAATGATGGTAACTGATGAAAGATTTAAACTCGCCAGTGCGTTTATTGTCTTAAATCGTACTTACGTTTGGTCTTTAAAAGAAAATAATTACATATCTATAAGACAGACAGTTCTTGAGGACATGCTAACAAAGATGGAGAGCATAGTTCGAGAAACGATGCCAATATAAATAAAGCTCAAGACAAAGTACAAGATACAAAGGAATCATTGAAGAGAGATTTTTTTCGTGAATTATGGTCCACAATTGTTGATTTGAAGACTTGCTTTTTTGGTAAACTCTTCCCATCAATATTGTTAAAAGATTGACAATCTGGCTAAGGATCCAGCCCAAGACTTCTTAATAAGTCATATATAATGAACAGTTTGGAACAGTCTCTTTTTTCTCCATCTTTGGGTAAATTACATACCACATTATTCTATATTCTAACATATCATTTTAGCTAGTATGAATTACTAGTATAACTTAAGATTTTTTCAGTCTAGTACATTTAATTTTATTTCAGACTAAATATTAATTGTATCAAATGATACTCAAATAATATGTCTATCAGTCAGACTTGGTACAATTTTTTGATATATTCGGATTACTTCCATTTTTATAGTATAAATTATCACTGAAAAATGTAACGAAATATGTATCGTTTTACTCCGTATGGCGATTAAAGTAACATTTCATACTGAATTGTTAGTCATATTTTGAATTCGCAGACAGTTCACATAGTATTTCATAAAACGACAACAGGGCGACAACAAAGTGAAGATCGATCTTATAATGAAAAACCAAGGTTATGTACCTAGAGTAACAAATACATTTCTTAAAGATAAAAGAGTAAGAAACTATGAGCCAAATTCTCAAAATCAGTCCTGTCTATGATATATTTATTTCTTTACATAATAAGTCCAAATGCATATTTTAAAACATAATAATGTATTAAA